TCCTCCTCCTCCTCCTCCTCCTCCTCCTCCTCCTCCTCCTCCTCCTCCTACTCCTCCTGCTCCTGCTCCTGCTCCTGCTCCTGCTCCTGCTCCTCCCCCTCCTCCCCCTCCTCCTCCCAGAGGAGGTCCAAAAAGGGGAAAGCGAGGAGAGGGCAGCAGTGTAGGCACCTCTTTCTCCCTGGAGGTCCAGCGCCGGCGGGGGCGCCCCTGAGCGGGAGCAGGCGTAGGCGGGCGCCGTGGGTCCCGGGCGCGCGTGGCTGCGCGGCGGGGTCGGCGGCCCGGAATGGATGGGGTCCGGAGTGGGCAGTGTAGGCCCTGTGGCGGGGGGCCGAAAACCTAGAGATTCAACGTATATCGAAAAAGTCGGCAGCAAAGGTTTCTCATCATGGTGGAAAAAATCATCCCCTCGCGCGATGGAAAAATCACGACGGAAGTGTTTCGCTATTATTTCGGCCTCCGGGGGGCCCTCGCCGGGCCATATGGTCGTCCAAAAACGGCTCAGGACGAAAAACCGGTCCCCAGGAAGGGGTCCAGGCTCGTAGGGGTCACGTCACGAAAAAATGAGGACGTCGGGGGTCTGGGAAGAAACGGGCGCCTGAGACGACGACAAGACGGGGAATATCACAGACCAGTGATGGCAGATGGACTGGGAATCTCTAAGAGCCAGCGCTGGTCTGGAAGAGATGCCTCGAGCGCCGCGGCCGTGCAAGGGAGTTCTGGAGCGCTCTGACAGCGTTCCGGGACGTTCCCAGGCCCTTGACGTCATGTTTTTTTCATAACGTCGACCCCCAGAGGTCGCGGCCCATTCCCCTAGACCGGTTTTCTGTCCTGAGTCGTTGTTTGGCCAGTCCCGAGGGACGGTAAGGGCCTCCAGAGGCCAAAAAGTTGGAAAAACCTCCCGTCATGATTTTTTCATTGCCAGAGGGAGTCTGGGTCCCAGGCTGAACACCACTGCTCCCCAGCTCCCTGCTGGGGCGCTCTCTGACTAGGACTCCGAGGCAGATCCGGCCGCGGCGCGGCGAGGGCCCCCCCCCCCAGGCGGGCCAGCAGAGGGAGAAGAATCAAGACGCCCTGAGATCCCCCAGACCTCCTCGCGCTTTTATACGAAAAGGAAAAATTGTTTCGTTACTTTCGGCCTGTTGGGGCCCTCGCCGGGCCTCGGGAGCGTCGAAGAACGACTCAGGAGGAGAAACCGGTCCTAGGGAAGGAGTCCAGACCTCTGGGGATCGACGATGTGACAGAATCACGACGTCGGGGGTTTGGGCCGACGTCACCAAACAAATTGCAACCGCGTAAAAACAAAGCTCGACTGGAGCCCTGGACCCCACCCTCACACTTTTCGAGCCAGACCGATCCTCGAGGGTCCTGGGGCCCGAAGCAAGGCAACGTCGCCAGTTGTCACACGAAATGCAAAGCCAGGCTCCCAGACCTCCGAAGTCGTGACGTTTTCACGACGTCGACCCTCAGAGGTCTGGACCCCTTCCCGGGGACCGGTTTCTCCTCCTAAGTCTCAGGTCGGGCATGTGCCCCTACAGGCGGATTCCGGATGAAAAATTAGACATAATCAAAAAATACGCCCAACTGGTCAGAAACAGTCCAACAAAATCGTCCCCCGACTATTGTTGACTACTTTCGAATCTGCCTCCTGTAGAGGGACGTGCCCGACTTAACCTGAGCCGTTCTTCGACGCTCCCGAGGCCCGGGAAGGGCCCACGGAGGCCGAAAAGGGCGAAAAAAGCCTCCCGCCGTGGTTTTGTTCACCGCGCGAGGGCGTCTGGGCGGCGCTCTCGGGGCGCCTCGGCGGCTCCCTCTCCCCCAGCCCAGGCGCCCCCAAAGTCGGATCGACGAGCAGTCGGATCGGCGATCGAAATGAATCGGATCGGCGGAGATCGGCACCCGAGTCGGAAAAATCGAATCGGCGCAGATCGGCAGCCTAGTAGATGGAGGAATCGGAGCCCAAATCGGCATCCGAGGTCGAACCGCAGAATCGGAACCCATCGAAATCGAATCGAACCGAACCAGAGGGATCCAAGAGAGCCCTGCCAAGCCTGAGCGCGTCGTGCCGGACACGGGCGGGCCGGGGCCGAGGCGGACGAGCGACCTCGCAGGCGGGGCGGGGGCCGTGCGGCCGCTGCCAGACGCCGGGGTCGTGGTGCCAGAGCGGGCGTGGTCCCCCAGAGGCGGCGTGCTGCCCCCCGTGATGGAGTCCGAG